GGTTAGACCAGTGGTCCTCATCATTTAATCAGGGAATTGTCATCTTGGATGCTGCAGCAGCATTTCACAGTTTCAGAAAGTGAGGTTAGCATTAGTGACATATAACTAATGGGAGTGCTAGCTTGGGAATTCTGTCTTTTTTCTCTGGTCAGTGATACTTAGTGTTTTGCCTCTCCTTTACCTCTTTAGTCCTCCTGCCTTTTCTAGAAGATTCTGTTTTCTATTATTTTTGTTATGATAATTGGTTTACTATTCCTACAATAATAATATTCCCAGAGTACCTTTGGATAAAAGAAGTGCTGGATTTGTCTTAAACTGCTGCTGCTGTTGTGTTTTTAAAGTGAATTTGCAACTGCAGGCCTACTTGGGCTTCGCTTAGTTAAGCTGTTTGGAGGTTTTCTGTGGTGACTTTTGAAGTACTGCATACTTTGAGCCTCATTGTGCTGTGAGGTTCCTAAAATTTGTTGTCAGACTTTAGGAATTCCATGCACTTGGTGTTCAGAAATTATAGATACCATGGTGGACAAAGGAAAAACAAGAAAAGGACTTGTATTACTAAAGGATAATGTAGGTTGCCCAGACAAGAAAAGATCTAAGTTGGAAGAGCATAGTGGCAAGGAGCTTGATTCGCAAGGTTGAAGAGGTGAGGGAGTCTGGAGGAAATGCCATATGAATAGTGTTTTTTGTGTGTTAAAGTTAGGGTGGTAAAATATTTTTAAAGAATGATTACACAGAGGTTGACTTTGAGGGATTTGATACTGTTTCATAAACCTCCACTATCTTTAAATATGTAACTTTTGATTACAGCTAAATACTGAATTGTTGACTACTGAGAACTTGAACACAGGCATGATTCTTGAGTTATATATGGCATGGCAAGAGCTGTATATGCAGAGTATGACTTAGGATATATTCTTTAAGTACTTGGCTTAGCAAAATTCTCTAAAATTTGATACTTTCGTTTATTTCATGGACACACACAGAATGCCAGTTATAAAAAACCCTCAAATACGTATTATTTGGGTATTAACCTGAATGTCCTGCAAAGACTGGACTTCGGTTATTGTACTTTCTGAAATTACTGAGTCCTTACAGAAGAGCAAATTGAAAGATCTTTATATGTTAGTACAAGTCATGTGTCTTAAAGGACCTTAGGCAAATCAAGAAATAAACTGTAAGAGAGTTGTTTCTAGAGTTAATTATGAAATTTCATTTTCTTTTTTTTTTCCTTTTTCCCCAGAAAAGCAGAGATGTACTGCTTTTACAATATTAAATAAAAGTTCACAATTGTCTCTTGCCTTTTTTTTTTTCTTAGAGTCAAAACAAAAGAATGTCCCATACTATTAGGAGACTTCTGAAGGGCTCACTCAAATCCACCTTCCTCTTTTTACAGGAAAAAGAAACGTGATTCCCCAAAGTTCCTTATCTTAGGGTTTTAATAAAGTCAGTTGTGTGTCTTTCCATTACGGCCTGTTATTTCTTCTTTTTATGAATTTCAGTGTTATTTTCTGACTAATCAACAATTGTTTTGATTAATAGTGTACACAAATTACAGTTGTTTCCAGCAGTCTGAATCAGCAGCTGTTTGTGCTAATCCTAAATATGCTAGGTAGGCTTCAATCCTCCCAAGTTCAATGACAATAGATAGAGGTTGAGGAAGTAAGCTGAAACTTACACATGAAGTATGTGTTAATGTGGTTGTCATGAGGTCAGTCACATTATGTCAATAAATCTGCATGTTTCAGTTCTAGCAAAGTAGATCTCTTTTGCTTGATTTCTGTTTTATGATAGAGTGAAATCATCAGCAGTTTCTGCTTTTTGTGTGTGTGTGTGTGACCCTCTAAATGCCATTTTCAAAGGGTGAAGACTCTAGTATATTAACAGGAAACATTGGAGACCTTACTTCCTTTGTATTTTCTGATTCCGATCTTCCAGTGCTGAAACCAAGCCACTGAACAGAATTTTCACTGCTGTTTTATTATAGCCATGATTTTTTTTTAACATTTTAATCATGCATTCTTGATTTTTATATGTATGTGTGAGAGTGCATGTCTGTCTGGTGATACAGCCATACCTTAAAAATACCTGAGATTTAAATAGATAATGTGAACTGTTACTTTATTTCCCAGTATTCTGTTTGCCTCCCTGCTGCGTTTTTTTACCCTTTTTATAACTTGGTCCCAGATTCCATTGCCACAAGAACAACTAGAAGAACTCTACCTATTCAGTCACATCTATCACATTGTAAAATGTGGAAATGAGTAAAGTCATTGAGCTGATTCTTTTCTGCCTAGGGATTACAAAAAGGAAAAATCTATTAAAAAAATACTATCTTTAAATATATCCAGGTTTCTCTTGACAGTCATAATTGTTTGGTGTGAATATAAATCTGCAATTGCTAGGAAGCACAGACCTTCTGTTACCCAGATGTAGCTCAACTGAATAAAATGCATCCTGTTACATCAAGGAATCCAGATTTCATGTTAGGCCAAATTCCCACTGAGGCTGTCAAAAGTAGTGTGCTTTAAGGAAGACCTAATTGTTTCTTCATTTCAGTGAGAAGTTGTGTTCTGTTACTGCTTACCAGTAACTTCGGTAGGGGATTAGAACTGGAGCAGTGGACGCTGACTGCCCGGCTACTGTGAGTTTGGGGGAGAAAGTTTTGTTTGTATTTGAGACAGCAGATCAAGTTTCAGTATAGCTTTTGGGAAGTTAGTCGGTTACTGGGAAAGATGGAAGTAGGAAGTGACAGAAAAAACAGTCCTGATGTTATGTGGGGAATTAGCTCAAATGGTAGAGCGCTCGCTTAGCATGCGAGAGGTAGCGGGATCGATGCCCGCATTCTCCAGTGTTTTGAGACGCTGAGAACGTATGTGCTGCTTAAAAGCGTGAAGTGTCACTTTTTATAGCTACTGCGAACAATACTTATTTTTTTCAATTGCCAGTTGTATTTTTTTCTGCTGGTTTTGAGATTAAAAAAAAAAGCTGCAAACCGCAAACAAAAAGAACCTTGTAAACTTGGTTTGGTTTGGTTTGGTTTTTTGGGGGTGGGGGGTGTGTTTTGTTTTTTTGTTAAATGAGTGTAGGTACCTGTGCAAAAAAGTAATAGGTTTTAAAGAGTGAAACAAAACCACTGACAGCCACACAGTTTCTTCTAGTTTTTGTTGGTGATACAATTTTAGTTCCCTGTTTATTCTACTGTGCATTGTGGGGCTCCTTTAAATTTAGATGCATCTGTAGCAGTTTTTTAAGGATTAAAAATATGCAATTTTAAGAAGCATATGCACGCCATGAATGATTTCATTTGTAAATGTTGATCAAAGATGAGCATTAATTTTTAAAGTGCCAATTATTTTCTTATAATGGGTTGAGGAAGAAATTGAGTGAAATTGGAGAGATTGTAAATCATTGAAAACTCAGGTTAGGAATAAGTGTGTCAAGCCCATCCTAACTACAACAGGTAGCAGGATCAAGGTAGCTGGAGAGGCAGTAATTCTGTGGTGAGCTGATTATTATATAGACAACTATATACTTTTACATTTTAAACAATTAAAGACTAACTTTTCATATCATAAAAAAATGCTCATATTAAAAGACTTCATAAAGGACAAGTGAATTTTATTTACTGTACTACAGAATATGAACATTAGTATTAAATGCTTTTGTGAAGAAATGATCAGTTCACAAGTGTAGTCTGCTAATTGAGCCTTCTGTTTTATTTGCTATGTGAAATTGTATGTTTGTATACTAATTGTATGTTTGCTATATGAAATCGTATATATTACTATTTATTTTCTTTCACAAGCTTGACCAATTTATGGAAGAAAATCTTTACGGTAGAGATATATTCAGTGTCTCAAAACACTGGAGAATGCGGGCATCGATCCCGCTACCTCTCGCATGCTAAGCGAGCGCTCTACCATTTGAGCTAATTCCCCCTGGTAGCAGGTTGTACGGGTGGAGTTACTTGTGCTGAATCATAGCTTGGCTGCTTCAGCTATAATTAGTTTGTTGAGTCAGTCTGTTTTGAGTTGAGCCATGTCTGTTTAAAAACAATCATCATTCTGTTTATTTGAAAAGCCTGATATTTTAGAACTCAGAATACTCAACATACAAGAAGCATACTGATACGTTTTCTGCTGTGTTACTGTAATAAAACAATACTTACTTTCATAAACAAAGCCTCCTCTAGTGTTTATTCAGGAAGGAGAGGACTGTTTTTGTTTTAATCTCTGTTACTATGCAGATCTTGAAAGACTTGCAGATCTAGAAACCATACTGTTAGAAGTCACTGAAGGGCAATGAGATTTTCCTTCTTGTTTTCCAGTTAGTTTTCTTTTCCAGCTTTATTTTCTAATTAGCTGTATGCAGATGATAAATACAGTGATTTCAAAGTTCACATTTATCACCATCTGTGGAGAGAAACCATTTATATTTTCTTAAGTTAAATTCTAGGTATTTCTACCTTTTTGTGTTGATTCACTTAAAATAGTATTGCATTTTAATTATATGGGGTTACTAAAAACATTTCACAAATTCAGAAATTCAAGTATAGTCATACTGACTGACTTCGCAGTAAGAAGCACATTGGCAAAGCTCTGTTCCCAGGTTATTAAATCAAGGAATGTTTTCTGGATTCAAAGAATGAAAATATGGTTTACAGTGGGAATGGTTACACTGAAAATTATATAATGAGAGATTTCTCACTTTCTGTTCCAATACAGAAGAGAAAGTTCTGTCAATAAAGGAGAATGTCTGCAGTAATACAGTAATACATGTATTGACGTTTTTCTCTAATGGATTTAACTTGCTGGATGACAGCATCCAGCCAAAAGAACATAAATTACAAAATCAAGCATCAGATACTTGCAACTAAGGTAGCACTTCAAATCTGTCACAATCCAGATCAAGGCCAAGATTTGGAACTAAAAACACAGTATTACTGTGAACATTCTCTTAGAATTTAAATATTCTCGTGCAGAGACTGAGGTAAGGCAGAACAGTAAATAAAAAATTGTTCTTAAAATTTCATGCACAATATTGTAACTGACTTTACCTCACTGAAGTTAACTTGAAGGGGAAAACAAATGTACAAAAGTGGTTTCAATCCTGCTCACAGGCAGACATCATAGGCTGTTAACGGCCCACTGCATGTCTGCAGCTGGGATCTTTTCTGTATTGTATTTCACAAGGTTCAGCTCTATGTACAGTTTTCTTTATCTAGCCTAGGCAGCCAGAGTCACTATCAAAACAGCAGATAACCTCTCCCTGTTTTTCACCCCCAAGTCTCACTTTGCTGCCACTGAGAAGGCCTAAAGCTTGGATAATTCAGCTCACAGAAAAACAATTAATTTGATATTAAAGTCAGATAAGGGTGAGGAAAGACCTCTGCAATAGTTCTATTTTCACTAATTAAAATTCATATTTCATAAAATTGACAGCTCATTGTTTTGTGAGCTTGAATTTGTTGCAAATTTTCATGTAGGATGATGAGTAAAACTTTGTAATTTACCCACCTGGTTGTGAAAATTTCCTTATCTACATGACTGGAAATAATTCTGAATTCCAGGTTTTCATTTCTCGTGGGTTTTTCATCTGTGAAGGGTTTGTGTCCACATACTTTCATTTAACACACATCACTTCAATGCATCTCTTTGGCAGCATCAGTATGAACTGCTGCAAGGTAATTTAATCAGGTTTGATTTTTGTTTTCTTAGAGTATGTCAGAGCAAAGGTGAGTGCTGTATTATCTTCATGCTGCTCCACTGCATTGCCTTTGATGTGACTTCCCTCAACATAGAAGAAGTGGCAGTCCTCTTCAGAGAAGGATAAATCTAGTGTGAGTTGCATGGCACTGCAAGGCTTCAGGTGGTGAGTTTATTGTGCAAGTTAGCATGAGGTGCCTTATTGTGTTACTTGGGAGTTTGTCCTCTTGGACGCATAATAGACAAAACTCAAGGTCAGATGGTACCAGGTGTTCTGAATGACTGCCCTGGGGCTACCACCCATGATAAAGAAGCAGGCAGTAAAACAGGTAGTTATTATTTGTGGTTGTGACAATCTATAGTTACAGGACAGAGAAGGTTATTGGGGGGGGGAATTAGCTCAAATGGTAGAGCGCTCGCTTAGCATGCGAGAGGTAGCGGGATCGATGCCCGCATTCTCCACTGTCACTTTTTTTTAGTGGTGGGATTAGAACCAGGTTACTATAAAAGATGCTTGCGTGTACTGGACTGGAATTTTGGAGTAAAATAAGCTTATTTCTTATATGTACATGATTTATTTCTTAAATGCTGCCATATATTTGACTAAAATAAAATAACTCATATTAAAACACCAAAACTGACTTTGGGCAGGTTTTTTTGGAAAAAACAAATGCTAGAACATATTTCCTCTCATGAATTGCAAGTAATAAAATATTACTCTCTTTATTTTACTCACCTGGAAAACATGTCAGTTTCTGATTTGTCTTGTTTCTTACTACGTCATTTGGAAATGTTAAGTAAAATATTACAAATTTATTATTTGACACCTGTTTTGGAATCGAATGTACTGTCATTTCTGAATAGACAAGAGCAAGAGAAAAAATTTATGTGTGGAACTCCAGAGTTTTGTGATCCTGCTAAGAAAATGAGGAGGGGAATTAGCTCAAATGGTAGAGCGCTCGCTTAGCATGGGAGAGGTAGCGGGATCGATGCCCGCATTCTCCAGTGTTTTGTTAAACAGGAGTTGTTACACCTAGAAGTATTTCTTCTAAACAGGAATTCCTAAGCAGGAATTGTTACACCTAGAAGTAGAAAACAAAATATATAACTTTTTTGATAAAATGTTGGTTTTGCTTACATGAGGATAAAACTGATTTTGTCCTTTTCTTCCTCAGTGTGTTTTACTACCAAAACCAGGATTTTGTAACTGTATATGTTAATCCTCTGTCACAACTGTTGGCTCTTCATGGCCCGTTTAAAGCAATATAATTAGTAGGTCTTCAGATTTTATCAACTACTGTTTTTCATTGTAGCAAATACAGTGCTCTTGTTTCCCTATCAATTTGGAGTCCAAAGGTGCCAGTCAGAAGGGGAGTCTGGTTGTGTTTATTGCATAGACAAGCTGTACTTTTGAAACCTTACAACCCACAATTAACTAACTTTTTTATTTTTTCAAGAATTAAATTATGCAAGCTGGTGCCAGGCTGTCTGTAAACTTTATTGTAAGGTGGCCATGCAAACTGAGAACTGGATGACAGTCTCCATATTGACTGTTGGTTTACCTCACAGATGATGAATCCCATGCATTTTAAGTCAACTACACATGTATTTTTACAAGAGTACATGTGGTCTTGTAGGTGTCAGAAAAAATACAAAATGCTTACTTTCTTTAGCCCATATCGCTGCATCCAGACAGCAAGTTACATAGCAGCTCTAATTATGAAATCAGATACAGTGCAAAAGTGGGATTGAATCACTTCCCTGACAAGCTATTTGACATGCAGTCTTTAGTGTACTTTCTTCTTTTCCTGAGATAATCCTGAAGTCCTGCAGCCTTCAAGGAAGATAAAATTGCAATTCCAGAGTGACTGCCAAAAATAAAGACTGAAGTTTGATAAGGCCAGATGGAACTCAGTCTCGAGGAGTATACTATCTCAGTTATGGTAAGCATAGGATTATCTTGATAGTTGTTTCTTAGGAATTTACATCTGTTCCTACTGAAGTACCTAACAAAACTGGGGATGACTAGATTGAGTCACTTCTCAGTCAGATCTGTGCTTGCAGAGAAATGAAGTACAAGCTCTGAAACCAGTAACAGTGGTAGCAAATGACATCTTTTCGTCTATCTTGTACTGATTCCCCAACCACCCTGAGCAGCCACTGATTGTATTTTGTGCTAGGAAAACACAAGAGTACCATTCTATTTCACTTCACCAGGAGATTCTCTTTAAAACAAGATAGCAGATAATTTCAACTGTGGTCTCTCAAAGTGACTTACAAACAGTTTTGCCAGTAGGCCCTATAATTTCTTTTTATACCTTTTGTAAAATGTATAGAAGACTTTAATGCCTTTTTTCTATGTTGCTTCTGATGTTAAGCATCTGAAGTTTCTGGCAGGAGTGCTTTCCCCTGGTTGCGTATTCCAGTCTTTAAATGACTTGAGTTGTTGTTTTTTAAATGAGCTTACTTATAAATGCTAACAGCATAGTGTAAATACAGCAGTAAATTGTGATACAGAGTTTGAGACTATTGCATAGGGTAAGGAAAATATTCCCAGTTTATTACTTTAATCTTTTCCTTTGTGTACAGTTCAAATTAGCATATGGATGGTGAAGATCTTTTACTCTGCTTATTTTTTTTACAAAAATACTGTTTATAAGGATTTCCATTCTGTCTACCTAATGATATATTGGCACTTGCAGTCGTTTCTTATAAAAAAAAACCAAAAAATCACTATCAACTACTATGTACAGGCTTTAAGAGCCACCTAGTGGGGTTATTCTGCAAATAACCCTGTAATCACTAAACACAGCAATTAGCATATCCATTTTTCTTTAAAAAATAATCAAAGAACTAGAACATACAAAGAATCAAATTGAAAGGGAGCTGAAACCCATTTTACACACAAAAACTTTCTTCCATTTACTAGAACACTTGATTTTTGTGTCTGCATGATTCAATAGGCACTTGAATTTGCAAGTAGATGAATGGCCCAATTTGTTTAACAGTAATAGTTTCCATACTGACAGGCAATTTTAATTTGAGGAATTTTGCTGATGTAGCCAGATGCATCACTTTTTTTTCTTTTTTTTAACCACAAAATCAAATTTCAAACACATATTTAAGAAACTCTCTTGGTGCTGTTTTGTCTGACAAGAGGAGGTACCAAGCAGTTAGGAAGGATAGTCTTGCTGCAACTGCAAGAGTGGAAGAACAGGGGAGATACATGTTTATGAACTGAAGTAGTACTTCAGGTACCAAGCAGTATGAATTAAAAAATGTGATACTTGTCAAGAAGCAAAAAGCAACTGTGAAATAAAGGTATGTTACAGTTGGCAAACAAAGAGGAGGAAGTCATGAGATGGCTGTTTCATGAGCAAAATACATAACTAATAATATGGCAGCAAGAAAAATGAGATCCTATAAGACAAGAGCCATAGAGAATCTGATTCTGCTATTTAAGGGAGTTTAGAATTTTCACAGGTTTTTAAGAGAGGCATCAAGCTCCCAGCTTACCAACTTACCTATATCTAACTTTTAAGCCTTGAGTAAGGGAACCTAGGCTTATATAGAGAAGCACAAAATGAACTACATCCAGTCCATGAAAGCCAAGAAGATGAGGTAATAGTGACTTGTTTAGTAATCAGCAAGACTGGGGAGAGAGGCTTGTATCTTAACCTGATCTTTCTGATATATGCTGTATTTTTAACTCCAGGATAGACTGAGTTCCTTCCTTGTACTAAAAAGCAAATCACTGAAATTTCAACTACAAGTAAATGGTATCTTGCTCGTACAATGAGCCAGTAGTAAGAAAAATTAGGTTTTAAGGTACTCCCCTTTCACGTGGAGATTTTCTTCCCTTCTGTTGGAAGCAGTGGCACAGAAGTACTTACTTCATTTTAAAAGGGCTAAGTGAGCTATCTGTATCTCTGAGTGGGACGCCTCTCGGAGCTGGTGAACTCTCAGGTTTGTTAAGTTTGGAGGACTGTCACTGAAAAACTGACAACGGGGCCTGGACTGAAGATTGCCCATTCCTCAAGGCTCAGCCTTTGCCTGTTAAAAAATTCTGAGATGTTTCAAGTGAGTATTTCACAGAACTCCAGGGAAATTTTTAACAGGTATACTTTTATACATATGCGTCTTTTTGTGCATGTGTGTAGATGGATTTAGATACCCTGTAACAAGTATAGCATGGATGTTGTCCCCTCAGACCTGTAATTAAGTCACTGCTGCTAGATCTTGTGATCCACCTTAAACTGCAAATAACCTTGGTCGACTTCTAAATACAGGCTTCAAACTGCACAATGCTGGTAGGTCACAAGGCATGTAAAAATCACATCTGTGGTAAATTGGTACTTCTACAACATCATACTAAGATCACTTTTTGCTGGTATCTTGGATAGTGATTCTTTAGGCAATCCTAATTGATTACACATGTAACCCTTTAGACATAAGCCATTGTCCAAGTCTGAGGCTAGGACTGGACCACCTAGTTGCACCTAAACTCCAGGAGTTCAGAAAGCAAGGGGGGTCCACTCTGAACCTTGTGACTTAACAGGAGGGTCTCCCTTACCCTTTTGCATCTTTAGTCTGTGTACATCATTAAATCGATTCTAACCTGCCAATGACACCAAGCTGTGTGGTTCAGTTGATACGCTGGAGGGAAGGAATGCCATCCAGAGGGACCTTGACACTCTTGTGTGGCAGGCTGATGCCAACATCATGAAGTTTAACCATGCCAAGTGCAAGGTGCTACACCTGGGTCGGAGCAATCCCAGGCATAGTTGCAGGTTGGGCAGAGAAGAGATTCAGAGCAGCCCTGCAGAGAAGGACTTGGGGGTGCTGGTTGATGAGAAAAAACATGAGCTGGCAGTGTGCGCTTCCAGCCCAGAAAGCCAACCATATCCTGGGCTGCATCAAAAGGAGTGTGACATGCAGGTCGAAGGAGGTGATCCTGCCCCTCTACTCTGCTCTTGTGAGACCTCACCTGGAGTACTGTGTGCAGTTCTGGTGTCCTCAACATAAAAAGGACATGGAACTGTTGGAACAAGTCCAGAGAAGGGCCACAAGGATGATCAGGGGAATGGAGCACCTCCCATATGAAGACAGGCTGAGGAAGTTGGGGCTGTTCAGCCTGGAGAAGGCTGCATGGAGACCTCATAGCAG